GAGCAGAAGCGTAGGTGGTTCATGAGTTCAATAGAGTGAGAGTTCAATAGAGTGAAAGAGGTTTGTACCATTTTAGAATCTGACATTTATTGTTTTTTAAGAGTTCTCTATCTTGGGGGGGTTGTTTTAAATTAGCTATTGTTCGGAAAAGTCTCAGAACCTTGACCCTGACAGCGTTCATAATTACAGATTTTAATTAAAATTGGCAAAGAGTTTTTACATCTCTTGCTGTAGTATTTTGTCTGAAATTTCTGCTGCCCTTCATTTGTTTGGTTATTGCATATTAAAACTAACTTACTCTGACGGATTCTATTTGAGGGCTTTCTCATTCGGGACCATCTCCTCTAGTAATGCAACAATTACTTTTGGGGTTCCCCAGGGCTCAATTCTTGGTCCTTTATTGTTTTCAATCTGCTTGATAGCTCTGGGTCAGGTAATTCACAACCGCAATATGTCTTCCTTCCGATAAGCTTATAATACACACACAGTAAACCAATTTGGCCTCTCCTCTGTTGCTCGCTCATCAAATTATAAGGTTTCCAAATTTTGGACTTGGATAAAACCTTGGGGTCTGTAAACAAAATAATCTGATTCCTTCAATTTGCACATAAAGAAAAAACATTTCCATGTTATTTTACGCCCTGTCTTCATGCCCTTTTTCTAAAGCCCATAACTCATTATTGTTCCCACTTTCTCAAAAATTAACAAATCCTTACCGGCCTGTAAAAAAACAAAGCCATAATTCTTTCAGTGGTTTTCAAATTTGCCATTTTAGCACTCAGTTTGTCACTCAGGAGCCTCACTAACATATATTTATTTCTTCAGTTTAATTTTTTTTGACAAGCTCTGTAATTTCTTTATTATTTTGTTTTGATCTTCAGCTCTCAACAAACAGAACAGCCTAATTTAAATAATGGAAACTTGTTCAAACGGTGTAACATTTCCCCTTTGGCCTGTAAAAGATTTGCATTCTGTTTACTTTCCCTTTTACTCATCCCGTTCTTTATCTTTGAATTCAATTTTACCGTTATTTCGAAAGAAAAGTGCTGCATTTTATTTATGGAGTACCCCTGAGCCCACTAAAGGTGCTACTTTTATTATTAATTGTATCATTGCATTGTGCAACTCAAATTGGTGACCGGTCTGGTTACCAGTCATCAGAGCTGCTAAAAGTCTGCAGAATGCAACATTAGGAAAAATAGAGATTTTCTTGGGAACCTTTCATCTAATGTCTATAGGCTTCTTTTCTCCAACTAAAGAAGCCTTTGCAGAGTAAAATCAGCTGTTTTTTGTCATTTTGTTGGTTTAATGTCAGTTGTGAGTATGTGTTCAGCTTTGTATGTGTGTGCAAAGTGCTAGGGGTGTGTGCGGTGGTGTAGCCGTGAAGCAGCGGTCGTCTTACAGTGCAATTATTCACTTAGTGCGGCGGCAGGAGGCTACAGCCAGCACTGCAGCCCTGTCGACTCTGAGCCTCTGGGCTGCTGGCTACAACAGCAGAGAAACCACAGTTGACACTGGCCCACACAGCCACATTCCACCCTGAGAGACATTGAAAAAGAGGAGTGAAAAGAAAGCGAAGGAGGTGAAGGAAGAGTGATGATCAGAAAGATGGAGACTGGAAGATGAGCATTTTGTGGCTTCACTGACCATCTGAAAGACCTCCAGACATTTTTTTTTTCTGGGAAAGGAAAACATTCAAGGCCGAAAAATGGAGAGAATGTTGGTAATCTTTTTTAAAAGCAGAGCAATAGAAGAAGAGAAAACGGTTTATGGGAGCTGGAGAGCGGGATTGAAACTAAATCCAGCAAGTGGCACTGGGACGCCTCAGTCCAAAAAACCTAGCTTCACATATGGGAAGAGAAAAAAGGCGGGAAGATGTCGAGAATTGAGAAAGATCGACCCTGGACTGTCTATGTCGCGTGATTTCTATAAAGCTTAGGATTGTGCTCAGTTGCAGGAGAGGGGAGAACCTGTGCCACCCTGATATTTGCCCACAGCGATGACGTGCTTTGCGGGGTTTACTTATGGTAATGCCAGCTCTGAGGAGGTTAGAGGCTCTTTTATTTCACCGCCTGGCCATAAAATAGGAGGATTGGCAACCAGGGTTCCCAGCAACGGTCAAAGGGAGCAACAGCGCTCTTTTGTGCATTCCCCATCTCAACATTTGGCATTGAAGAAGTTTTGTGCAGCTGTAAACTCCAACAAAAAGCAGTAGATAAAACGTAAAGTCGCTTGTGACTTACACTGTAAAATTGGGAGTACAAGACAAGCAAACTAACTTTATCGCATCAATAGCTGTGATTCTCGTGACCTGTAGAGGAGATAGAGATGCGTGACAAGAGGGGTTTGATGAAAACCTGAGCCGAACGAAAGCTTTTAAACGAATAGCTGTTGTTACACGGGACACATTTAGGGCTGAGAGAGCATCACGTGAACTTACAGTCTCCCCTGTCTGGAGTGTATTCTCACATTCACATCAATGCCTCAGAAAGCTGTAGATGGGCTGGGAAAGTTTGAAGCACTCTGACTCACTGTGACCTTTTGATTGGGCCAAAGCAAGGCATGCTGGTCCTGTCTTTTCACCGATGAGCAAATTTGAGCCTTTCTTTTTTTCTGGGATCCTAACTGGGGCAGCCAGTCCTTCACATGGATACAATGGCACATACGCAGTGACTGCTACTGTACAGAACATGGTGAGGCCTGTTTTAACAGGGTGACAATGCACCATCTGAGCACTAATATCATGTGTGATTGTGTGTGCTCATGTTCCCCTAATCCCCCTCATTTTCTATGTAGTTAGTATGTTAAGGCAGTGAAGCGTGGGGACGACGACGACTTAAAATTGCTTTAGTTTATTTTCTCTAAAAATACTCAACTTATCTAAAAAAAAAGAGGATGAATTGAGTTTAAAATATCTTTTATTGGAAAATAATCCACCCCAAAAAGTTAAAAAAAAAAAAAAAAAAAAGGAATAGCCAGATAACAGCTGGTACTCAATACTTGGACCTGTGAGCAGTTTTTTTTTAGCTCGGCTACTTAGCTTTTAGCAGGAATGTTTATCCGCGTTCCTTTTGAACCATTGGGATAAGATTATTCTGAAGAGAAGACTTGAGTAGATGTCAATGTGTCAAATGTAAATTAGCTTCAACTAGTGTTGGCTAGTTTGTTTGTTGATGCTTGTGATTTGTAGAGCCGGCAAATTCGTCATTTTATTGTCTTAGCCGGAGATTGTCTAAACCAGATCTAGGTCTGGCATCTCGGCGTTGTGGGACACGACTGTTCTTTATACCGAGCTGCTGTTGAAACATTTGTGGTTTTTGTTTTAAATGATTAAGTCAGAGGGTAATGAAACTCAACACAATCTGGTTTGTTGATAATTGGCTCCACAAACTTCCACCTACGTCAATTGATGCGAGTCCAACTGGCCTTAATTGAATCTTCACACTTTCTTTTTTTTTTTTTTGCATGTTTATTTTGATCTGACACTATGGGAACAGAAAAAGGACACATGCTCATATTTTTGATGAATTGTTTCCTCAAAGTATTTTCACATGAAATTTGGTTTTAGGGGAAAAGTAGCTTTTCATCATCCATACCGTCTGTTTAAAGTAAGACATCTAGGAGCAGATTCATCTGGTTGTGTCATAATCAGGGGTTAGTGGTGTACCACTTTGGATACGGGCCTCCTTTGGTAATTAAAAATTGGATAATGAATAGTGGAATTACCCACCGCCGCTGATTGGCAGGGCAAAGTAAACAAAGCGCTAGCCTCATGGCCGGAGCCAAGGTGACATGCCGTTCCCTTCTCTCTGTCTCCATTCACAAGTCGGTCACAGTGCACACAAAAGATCCAAAGGCCTTTAGGCATTCAGAGCCGCTGCGTTGTTGGGAAGTGGATCAGCTTTTGGAAAGTTCAGAAAGCATCTGAACGGGAGGGAGCAGCCGTACAGTAGATGAAGAGTATCCACTAATACTTGGAGCAAACAGGTTTTGTAACAGAGCAGATGTATGGAAGGCGCTGCTGCATGACGGATCAATGTGTGGAGCGCTCACTTTGAGCTGAGAGCCTGTGAGACTGTAGCTCAGGTAGCTCTCCCACCCTTCACATCGATTGGTCCAAAGATGCAAAGTTTTCTGTTCAACATCAACGAGGCTTGAGAAGGATGTAAAAGAAAACAAGAAACACTTTAGTAACCACAGTCATGAAACGTCAGCGTCAAGGTTTGATCTGCTAGAATTCAATTTCTTTGCTCGCATAATGAGAAAGTAGCTTTTGATCTTTTTCAACGCTGCACAGAACAAAAGACGATCAGATTCTTGTGTGCCTTATTAACTCTTGTTAGGTGTGACTACATTTAGCCTCACTAAATACTGATCATTTCTGTGAAAGCTTCATTCAAAAAAGCTCTGGCTCTACATGTCATTCACTTCATTATATTTTATGTTTTTATTGTGTTGTGTTGGAGCCAAGCGAAACCCTTTAAAACCACTAAGAGCACACTCACACTCAGTAATCTGTACCGTTCCCTGTGTTTGACCCCCAGAGTCCAGTTCTCTTGACGAGTCTGAAATGCTCCTGAACCTGAGTGGCCTATTTTTAAAGCAATCGTTTATTTCATATCTTCAGACAGTTTTTGCATTTATCAGAAAGATTGAGCAGACCTTGCATCGAATGGAGCAATTTGAAAATGTTTTCAAGCCCCCAAAATATGTAAAAGTACATTCCTTAAATCGCTTTATTCCCGGGAAAGATTGTTCACTATCAGTTTTGGATTTGCTTTGCTGTAAAGCAAATGTTGCTGCAAAAAGTTGAAATATGTTTTTTCTGTTTACTCTGTGACTGATCAGTATTCTTACCGGGACTGAATAAATCACTCAATCATTATGTCTGACTCCCTCATCTGTCTTTCAGCCTCGGAGCCAAACCTGAAGCTGCGCTCCAGGCTGAAGCAGAAGGTGAGCGAGCGGAGGAGCAGTCCGCTGCTGCGCCGCCGAGACAGCCCATCACCACCGCCAAGAAACGCTCACTCGACATGGCAGGTGAGGGAGACTCGTACATGCAGGAGTCTGGTGTTCAGAAAAAAAAAAAAAAAAATCTACTTTCTCTGTGTTTGATATGTGAGTGTGTGTGTGTTGTTTCAGACTCTGCGTGTAGCAGCGCCCCAGGCTCAGGGCCGAGCTCCCCAAATAACAGCTCCAACAACATCCCCAACGAGAACGGCATCACTGTGTCGGTCTGCAACAACACAGAGGTAACAGCAATCAAGGGCACCTCAGAATAAGAATAAGAATTCCCTTCAGTTATTTACTCTTAGCGACATTTTTTTGTACATCTGAAGCGGTTTATTCTCAAACTCTTCAGTCAGGCAGTTTATCACACCTTTAAAGCCAAAATCATAGAAGTGTAGCTTTTAACAGATGAGCTCTACGCTGGTTCAAAAACTTAAAGCATCAATTCATTTTCCATTTTCCATTTTTAATTCTGATTCTGATGTCTCCTCTGCAGAAAAGAAAGTGGATGGTAAACCTTTTATAAAGCAGAGACACATTGAAATCATGTGTTAATTTATGCAATATGGCACTAAACATGTGCTAGACACAGCCTCAGCTCAAAAGCCTCAGTATGAGATGAGCCCTCATTTGAAAGGCACAAAAGCACACTTTGCAACACTTGCATAGAGTCTACTTAAGGCTAAATTATAAACAAATTATGCAGCTTTATTAGCTGATAAACATAGCGGCCTGTAGCGCCTACAGAGGCTCTGAGTGAGGCATGATGGGTCTGCAGAGAGGAAGACAGCCGAGGAGCTGGCAAGAAGCTATTTGTGGCAGCCATTAGGAGCACTCAGGCAGTGTGGAGGAGGCTTGTCGCCGTGACGATTTTCATATCGCCAGTAGCTCTCTCCTCATGTGTGGACATCTACCGCTGCAGTGCCGTTCCTTCTTCACGCTGCAAACACGAATAAATCATTTAAATGTGCTTCCCAGGCGTCTCTGGCCCAGAGGCTGTGCAGCGGTGCTGAGCGGGCTCCGTTAACCAGCTGTCCCTCTACACTTCACCATCCTTACCCAACATCACCCTGGGGCTGCCCCCACTGCCACGGCCACGGCTGCTTCGAATGTGAGGAGGAGAAACCGCCGCCAAAGCTCGCCAAATCGCTAACAGATCCATGTGCTTTTATTTATACTGAAATTCGAACATTTACCAACTAAATCCACCTCTTCTTTCCTCCAGGTGACTTCAGCCCAGCAGGATGGAGGTCTGCAGCCGGCCCTCTC